TGAATTATTTCTTGAGCTGGAGCCCACATACTGTCAAACATAATATCAGCATTTGTATCATTATTTTGATTAACAAATATGTTTTGTGGTGCTGATAAAATATTATCTTGATTATTTATTAAATCTTGATATTTTTTTTTAAGTTTTTCTTGAATACTAATACGTTCATCTTGATCAACAAATCGAAGACCTTTAAGACGAGGATCTAAAATCATGGCCAAAACGGCTATTTCCTCTGGAATGTCCCACCACTCATCAAGAGAAAGATAAATTGCAGCTTTAACTTTGTCTAAAAGTTCACTTAAATTTGTTTCAGAATTTTCATAACTATAAGGTTCATGACTGTGCCTACTATTTCTACAATTATGTTTGCGTCTGCGCTCATGACCATGTCCACACCCATGTCCACGCTTATGACCACGACTACGACCGCGACTATGACTATTACCTTGGCTTTTGTTTTTACGAATTTTATGACAAATATTTTTTGAATCACAGTAATTGTCAGAACTAGCTTCTGAATCCTCAATATTGCTATTAGTACTACTATCAGTTTCTTCTGCTTCATCAGTTTCATTAGTTTCATCTATATTCTCAGATAAAGCTGGTCCATATACTAAATCTATATAATCATCTATTGTATTATTACCAGTTGGGGCAAATTGTTGTTTTAATAAACGCATATAAGGATATATTAAACTGATAGTAGGATATATTGCACCAGAAATATGTCGAGTAATTACTTCGCATGGTGCTAGAAGGTTTACCATATCATTAATAAAACTAAAAAAAAGAAAAAATTAACATTAATAAAAAAAAAATTACTAAGTATATCAATGCATATATCAATAAATACATAACAATCTGCGCATTACTTGAAATATGCATAAAAAAATGAATACGTATTTAAAATTCAAATATACAGTTGCCTCCAAATGTTTGTAATAGTTACACAAATATCGATATCCAAATCAACGATATAATATTGCACACAAAGTAATAAAATATAAATGAATACAACTGACTTTTGGTATAAAAAAATAACCAGGCCCAGCCAAAATCTTTCTTATATCGAGATTTCTTATATTAAAGATAAAATTTTTAATTGGAACTTGTAAAATCCTTCTTATCTCAAGAGTTTCTTATATTGAGAGTATCGAGAGTTGTACATATACGTATATTATTCGTCAAATAATTATCATAATTAGTTTTTGTATAACTGTGACAAACTTTTGGAGGCAACTGTACATATATACATATAATAATTTAATTAATTTATATTAAATTAGAGCTTGGATCGGTTATCTGTTGGATGCAAATTTAATAGTAAAATCCATTGAATATCCGTTAAATTTAATATGAAAACGGATGACCGGATCCAAGCTCTATATTAAATAAATAAAAAAATTACCTAAATTCTTCAGAACTAAGGCGTAATTTATTAAGATGTTCACCTTCCTTACGAACTTGAGCAATTTGTGATGAACAAAGAGTAGCAGCAAGACTTCTAATAGCATCATCTAATTTTATGATTCTTTT